ACAACCATGGAATGTCCCGTATAAATTGATAAAGCATCTAAATTTTTTCCTTGTTGTGGTTGCATATTTATATTCCATAAACAAACAGTATGATCATCAGCTGCACTAAGTAAATGTCCATTTGAATTTGAATTCCATGATAAACCATAACCTTCTCTTGTATGACCTTTTAAACGTAATTCAGGATTACATTCACCTGCTTGTTCTTTACCTAATGGATGTGTATCAATATTAAATACTAATACATCTGATAAAGGTGTTTTAGTTGCAATTATTTGAGGATTTTGTGGCATATAACGTGCACGATTAACTTCACCTTCATGATTTATTTTTACATCAACTTCAATACGACCATTAATTAAACCAAAACCACCTAATTCAGCTTTATCATTATCATAATATGATGTATCAAATTCAAAATCTTCTTTTGGTAATTGTACACTAGCTATAACAAGATGATTTTGTTCATCAGATGTATGTGTACCAAGTATTAAACGATGTGTATTAAAATCACGACCTTCTTCCCTATCAAAATAACAACAAAAAAACTTTTAGATATCAAAAAAAAAAAAAAAAAAAAAGAAAAGAAAATTATGAATTTACGTTCGAACATGTGGTAACCATTGTGCTGTTAAACTAGGCCATTCAAGTGCATGAGTTATAACAAGATTATATAGAAATGGTGCATTCTTTTTCCAAATTTTATATTCTTCATTAATTGCTTTTTCTTCTATATTTTCTTCAAATTCACCTACGAATAAATGAAATTATTTTTTTTTTTGGAGAAAATATTTCAATAATTTTTATTACCATCAATATCCTCTTTTTGAGTTACCATTTTAAAAAATTTTACCGTAATGAATTTTACAAAAAACTAATTTTTTGTCTATTTGCTTTACTATTATCCAGAAGAAGAATAAAAACGGAAGTATTTTATTGGTAGGTATTAGATGAAGAATAAGAGAGAACATTACCGATTCAGCTTAGTTGAATAGTGACATCTATGTGACGAAGATAGGATGAATTGAAATGAGAAGCTAGAAGTAAATTTTAATAAAAATATTACTTCAAAGAAATCTTTTAATAAAAATTAAACTCTTATAGTGTATCGATGTTTTCAGAATACATCAATTCAAAAATCATAAAACCAATGATTCTTAACTGGACGAAAATAGTTTTCGATGTATCAGGTTTATATGAGTATTTTAATTCAAAAAAAAAAAACAAAGTGATCTTTATTTAGTGGAATTAGTATGGGATAAAAAAGTTAAAAATTCTAGGCAAAAGTTGAGTAAGCATAAACAGTACTATTATCATATTTTCTCTTGTTTTTCATAGTAATGAATATTACAGAAATAGAAATTATTTACTGTTTGTAAAATAGAATTTCATAATTCACAGGATAGAGTTAAAATTATATCACTTTGATACTTATGTTAAAAAGTATCAATACCCTGCATTAGGGAGCTGCGAGTCTACGTTTTTGTGGATCCGATCGGATCCAAACCCGAGGTTTTTTCCATCAATACCTGACACCCTTCGTGTACATGAACAAATGAAGAATCAAGGTTTCAGCTATTTATTCGCTACTCTCAGAAAAAATTCAGCGTATAGTTATATCTTGTTGCTGGATTTCTCATCTGGAGAGCAGCGAGTCCAGAAAAACGTGTAACTGAGCCCAACAAAAAAATAAAACTACGGACCCGGACTCGTTCGGATCCGGGTCCGGATCTGGAAGGATTCGCAACTCCCTATCCTGTATGCATAAGAGATACAAAAATTTAGTTGAATTCAATAGAAGAACCGTTAACGAAAATTAATTAATTCTCGGAAATATACTTTCTGCGATATTTCGATGTCGCACGTTTGTTCGCACCAGTGTCCTATACAGGTACAACCGGGCCTGAATAGTTGTACCCGGTACCCGACCGAACCTAATCGACGTTGATGATTATGAACGCATTTTCCATCACGATAATACTTGATAGTCCATTTTCTTCTTCATGTATCTAATTACTTCACATCATATGATTCATCCTCATCTTTAGATGAATTTTCAATAAAAATGAATTCTTTTCGTAAAACAATATTGCTTTCTACTTCTGTGACCTATTCTCAAGTACAATAAATTGCTCAATCATGATAGAAAAATTAAAATTTTGAAAAAGTAAAACTATTTTGAAACATCAAGATCTCATTAAATGCCAGGTATTCAATTCCATTGCAGGACACTAGTTCACCGTAGCCCTTACGACTTTCGTTAACCGAGAAGAAAATAATTCCAAAATATATTTTTACTAATAAAAATTTATCTGATAACTTAGATCGATTTGGGCTCTGTAGCTTCCATGTCCTTGAAATCACGAAATCGTAAATTGAAATGCGATAAATCATTGATTTTTCTCAATGATTCTGGAGATTTTTGTGTCTACTGTTACACAGACAAATTCCTATTACTACATAATTTATGTTAATGATCTTAAAGAATAACAACAAGTTCTTTAACTTTACATCATTCTCGGATTGAAGGCTTCATCTAAAACTGAATCTACAATAGAAAAATTCTAATTAAAAATAAATTACTTGATGTGAAAATATATCTGAAATTATCTATACTATCAAAAATATCTTTTTGAAATAAATAGTTTTTTTTAAATTGTCCAATCCTAATAGGAATTAAACAAATCTTCGAAAATTTCTCTAATTAATTGTTAATTCGTAATCAATTACTGAAATACGATTTTTACGACGTGGGTAGTATCGAAGACTCAGACACATCAGCATAGGCGTGCCAGCATCTTATATTACAGTGTGGAAAATAGATTGTAATATTTTATTATTATAAAAGAAAATCATATTTTCAACCTCGTGAAGCTTCACACAACAGAAAAAACAAAATTTATAAATCATGTTATATTGAAGAAAACTTTTAAAAAAAGCAATTAAACCACTTGCAGTACACACGAGATATTAACATAAACTTTCCACATAGACTCCTTGAGATACTGTATAGTATTTAAATATTTTTTTTTTCTCAAATTTTCATTATACAATCATATTATAATCCTTTAAAAATTCAATATCTATAAGAAATGTTTGCATTGCCATAAGAGAACATATATTATCAAATGAAATACACATCTTGAAAATTCGACAATAGATCATATCAATATATAAAATACAAATGAAAACATACAGCTTAATCGTAATGTTATTTTTTTTGTAAAAAAAAAAAAAAAAGAGTTAATCAATAAAAAAAACAATAAATAAAAATATTTGATAATGTTGACATGAAAATAATAATCTTTCTATTTCTATCGATATTAATCAACATTTCATCATTTATAGAAGACAATCAGATGCATTGAAATTACGAAGCACAAGTCGAAGTAATCATTTTTCTTCTAGTCAAATGTACTTGTGTTCTCGAAGGCATATACATCAAATTGAGTTGACGAAGTCTTGCAATGACTGATTTCTTTTTTTTCTTCTTCTTCTATTACATACTATTTCAATGCGCAATACTCATGATAAGGTGTCTGGTAGTCTACTATATTCTCTTTTAGTTGTTATTATTGGCTTCTGTTGACGATAATGCTAAACCTTCGTATATACATATATGTGTATGTATGCTTAGTCAATAGCACCTCTCAATGTATAAAATTGTTTATTCTATAAATGGATTGACGTTGAAATAGGAGAATTAAAAAAAAAAAAAGAACGAAAGACTGTATCAAATCATCAAGTTATTGGAAATAGTTTTGTACCTTTTTTCTTTTTTTTTTTTTTTCGTTTCATTTGGCCAATTACTTTTTAACGCTGATGAGATGAACTTGAATGGTATCATCGATTCTCTCTAACAACGATGATAGACTAAGGTTTCAATAAATTTTTTTTTTTTTTTGAAAAATTATACAAGAAGCTCTTCATCATCATCATTCGATCAAAGAAAAAAAACTTAGTTAGACATTCATTTATTTATAAAGAATATGACAAGTTATTTTCATCCAAAATTATATCTTGATAATGATTTTACCTATCATTTAAGAAATCCAACAACTCGGTATGTATTTTAAAATACTAACACAGGTGCAGCTTTTATATATATTCTTAAAATAATAATATGCATTGATCGATTATTGTTTATTTTTACAATAATCATTCTTGATCTATATATATATATATATATATATACCCTTCTAACAGTGATATCTGTTCTTATTCGAGCACATACACGTATACTACCCTAATTGAATGTCCTTTTGTTATTTGAAGAATCATTCTCAGCATTAATCTCAAATCAATATATGTGTATTATTCTTGTTTTTATGCATCCGATCGATCGCAATCGATAATGAATTGTGGAGATGGAAACGGCACGTCTTCGTCTTTTATACATATATATATATTTATTTCATGTTCAAAGTCAAAGCGCATGCACTAGAGACTCGTATAAAAATGAAGAGAAACAAAAACAGAGCAATACTATTGTATTTGTACTTGACAGAGTGCATTTTAAACAAAAGAGATTGTCAAATGTATAAAGAAGAGCAAATACTCTTGAACATAGAGGAAACAAAAAAAGAAGAAAAAAAAGAATAAAAGAGTTTCAATGATGAAATCTCAACAATCATAAGTAAAACTATATGTAATTAAAAACCTTCAATGTTATAAACATGGGAATGTTTTTTTGAATTTTAGTAAGAAAGAAAAATATATATATATATGTATGTATATCCGGATGATCGTTATTTTTTTTGTAAGAGAAAAGAAACCTTTAAAATGTTCATCTTCGTTTCTTTCTTAACATAGAAAAAAAAAACGAACATCAGACTCAAATCATTGATACACATCAAGTTGATGTGTGAAACCTATTTCGATAATTTTTTTTTTTCAAAACTATAAAATCTCCTACTTTCTCTCATTTCTCATATTCATTTTATTCAGCTTTACATGCTTTTCTTTTTTTTTTTCTTCTTTCATTCATAAATTGTCAAGTAAGTAGATACACCATTTGTTCTCAATTAATAAAGCTTGATTTTTTCTTTTGAACATTTTAAAAAATAGATACTATTACATATTCCGTTAGTTTAAACTAATCAATCGTAAATGAATGATTGTGTATTGAAAAAAAAAAAAAACATACAAGGAAAAAGCGGCTAATCAACTTGTGCAATTCGATCTTATTTCTATTCCCGCCTTTACACGTGAAAAGTCAGCTATATATATATTATTGTTATTATTGACATCATCAGCAAATATGTAAACGATTCAATAGAGATAATCATACTACTATTGACATTAAATGAAAAAGGAAAAAATCTTTTAAAAAAACTTCAACTATACAAACAAATACTCTTGAAGAATTAGATAGATGATATCAGTAAATATGAAATGACAAAAAAAAAAAAAAAAAAAAAAAAAGAAAATGAAAATGAATTGAAAAGAGCTTGTTACTAATTCAAGTGTTACTTGTACTTCAATAAAAGAAAGAAAGAAAAAAAGGAATTCATGGACACGTACATATCTTGATTGGATATATATGTGTATGTGTGTGTTTTTTCTTTTTTTCAATGACTATTCTGATTCGTTATTGTATATTTTTCTCGTCAACCAATTGCGAAAAGCAAATAAGAAAAGAATAACATAACTACACCATCATCATCTTGTTTGACTGGCGTGTCGAACAACATCATTAAAACTATAGCTCGTTTCTAATAGGTTCGGTTCATCCGAAAGGAGAAGTTGAGAGAGAGAGAGAGAGAGAGATTTTAATCTCCTTTTTTTTTCCTTCTTCTTTTTCTTTTCTTGATTATGCATCGCATTCGAACGAATAGCTTATAGGTTTCTTCTTGCACAAGAGAAAAAAAAAAAAAAAGAAGTAATAATACAAACAGGGGCAAGAGAGGAGAGAGAAAAATTGTGTTTTCATGCAATAATTGCAACGACAACACAAGCAAAAGTAGTAGTAGTCGTCTTTGAATCTCTAAAACATAATGACAGCAGTAAATCGCATTGGCATGGATTCGGCTACAGCCGATGTTTCATCATCATTGTGGCGTGCTGCCGATACTTCATCATTCGATGGGTAAGTTATAACAAAAAAAAAAAAAAATCATTACAAAAACTTCAAAGAAATAAGATAACAGAAGCAACACAAAAAAAAAAAGAAGAAGAAAAAATTTGTCCACACCCATTTCTTATCAATTCATTTTTTTTTTAATAGAAGTTTTATCTCACCATGGCGTGATCATCATCATCATCCTCATGAATATACTCCATTTCGTTTTTCTGATACACATCATCATTATGATCCAACAGCATCTTATTATACTGATGCTGCTACTGCAGCAGCTATCGATTCTTATACATCATCAACTGCAACATATTCACCATATATGGTACATCATCATTCTCCGTCATCATCTATGGTTGCAACAACTAGTTCACCTTCAATTAAACCTGAACGAGCTGCTGCTGCTGTAGCTTTACAATCAGCTTTAAGTTTACCACCACCAATGAATGTTAATGTTTCAATGAATTTTAATTCACATAGTGTTCAATATACATCAGGTTATGGTAATGGTTCAAGTACAGCAAATTTTGTTAATTCACCATATGAAACATTTTATAATCCAACAGGTACATCACATTATACATTTCCAAATCATTCACCTGAAATAAAATCAAATCGTTCATCAAATTATTTACAATCAGATCCAGTTACAACAAAACAAGCTATGCTTTTATCAGCTGCTGCTGCTAATTGTGATTATAAAGATTTTTCAAAATTATGTGATTTTTTTCCAACACCATCATCATCATCATCAACACAAATGAATACAAATGAAAAACGAAAGTATGTTTTTTTTTTATTTCAAAGACGATTTTAACTTCTTTTCTTTCGAATTTAGTCATTGGCAAACATCAAAACCATCAACAAATCCTAAAGTTAATGAAGGACGAATAAATCGTTGTAGAATATGTGGTAAAGTTTATGCAAGACCAAGTACACTTAAAACACATTTACGAACTCATTCGGGTGAAAAAGTAAGAATATTTTAAATTAATAAGAAAAAAAATAAATTTTTTTTTCTTTTAGCCATATAAATGTGATAAATGTTGTAAAGCATTTACTCAAGCAGCTAATTTAACTGCACATTTACGTACACATTCAGGTGAAAAACCATTTTCATGTGATATATGTGGAAGAAAATTTTCTCAAAGTTCATCAGTCACAACACATATGAGAACACATTCAGGTGAACGACCATATCAATGTAAATATTGTCGAAAAGCATTTTCTGATAGTTCAACATTAACAAAACATATGCGTGTACACAGTGGAGGTAATAAAAAAAAATATATATATTTTATTTTTGCTTTTTTTTCTGATAAATTTTTATGTTATGTATTGTTTATTTTTTTTCTTTTTTTCTTTTAAAGAAAAACCATATGAATGTTCATTATGTCGTCTTCGTTTTTCACAATCGGGAAATCTTAATCGACATATGAGAATACATATGAATGGTGGTAGTCATCATACAAAATAAATCAAATGACGAAAAATATTATCTTTCTTTTTTTTGTTTTTGTGAATCTCTTTTGCCCTTCTCTTGTAATAATCATCATGTTTCATTTTTCGTTGTTTTTTTTCTTTGGGCATTGTCTTTCGTTGTCGCGCGTCGTTTTTCTTTTTTTTCATTTTCATTTACTTTATTCTATTTTTATTTCATCGTTGCTTGTTTTATCAATGAAAATCATTTCTATGATAGAGGAAAAAAAAGAAAAATTAATATACATATATAATTAGAATGAATGATGATAGGGTTGATCAAGGTAAAAAGAGTATGAAATGATTGAATTAAAATTTATTTTTATTTTGACCAATAGAAATGAATTTTGATTTGATAGAACAAGAAAAAAAAAAATAATAATAATAATAATTGATTATGTATTATATAAAGATCTATTTGTTAGAAACAAATAAAATAAAATCTATTTTTTTAATTAGCAAATGAAATATATTTTTTTATTGATAATGTAGGACAAAATATATAAAGAACAATCGTACACAGTGTATGTAAACAATGTCATACGTTCGTTATATAATTCGGATTCAGAAGCTGAATAAGCGAAAGTCGATGATTATTATTATAAGTGGTAGTAGCAACTGATGTTTTTTTTTGAATATTTTTCATTAAAAACCGTGTCAGTGTGATCCTATGAGAGGCCAAAATGTGGAATTCATAAACTCTGACTGTTAGAAATTTATGTTCCATCTACTTCTACATCGAGAGACAGATTCAAAGCATGTTTAAAATATAGAATTTTATGATAATTTGTTGCCTACAATACTATGTTCTTAGCAGTAGGACGATAAATATAATTTTTTTTGTAGTTGCACATTGCTGATCATCAGAGGAGTTAAAATAAATTATTTTAAACAAATATTAAGTAAATGAATAAATTAGAATTATAAGAGTTTTTGTAATTTATGATTCCTTTTCTACTAATCTATTGAATTCATTTAATATCGTTATACTGACAAGACTTTGATGTAAAAGTAAGATGTTGAAAGAAAACTCTATCTATCAGAAGAGAAAAAATTTATTTTTACGAAATATTGCTAACTATGCAAAATATTAATCTCTATATCTGTTTAGTGAATATATGTTGAAATAAATAATTTTTTTATCAGCTGATAGAAAATGTTTCTCTCTTTCAAACTGTATATTAACAATTATAAATAAAATGACATGAGAAGAAAGAGAAACACTCCAACAATGAATTTGCAATTTTTATATTGATTCATCAGATCAATCTTGTAAAATGATAGTTAGTTATTTTATAAAGTAAAGCATTTCAAGAACAACGATTTATAACATTTTCAACAAATATTTAAAATATGGGCAAAACAAATTTTTACCAAGGAATATTTGTCTAGTAAAATTTTCTAATTAAGAATTAAATCAATTGATAAAATCTGTTAATAACCGTTGGGTTATCAGATAGCGTAAATTACCTAAGCATTTTAACGTTAATTAATCAACAATCTATCGTAACTTACGAAAAAGAAAATCAGTCACGTTCAGAAAATATCGAAATGCTCCAAAGATAGACAATAAAGCTCAAGCAAAAAAAAACCTACGAAAAGCTATACGAAATGATTCCTCGTGGTTCTGATATTATTTTAGATGATAAAAAAAGAAATGATTATTCTAGAAGCTGATATTTTGCATTGTTATGCTACATTATATGAAAAATGCAGACCGAGTTTAACAGAATCCGACATTTGTTCCATTAATTTTGCATTATATGTCATATTTGGTAATAAGTAGTACAAAATTGAACAGACAATCCTTTTCAGGTTAAAAAGTTTAATGCAAAAGAAAAAATGATGTCATCCATCATTATTCTCTTTTTATACTTAAGCAATCAAAGCAGAATTGTGTTTCTGATCTACACTCATGATGAAATATTTCAGGTGTACAGCATTTATAATATTTGAAATTCTCTAGGATAGAGACTATTATTCACTACTGGAATTTGAAATAAAGTAATACTAAATATAAAATCCTACCATTATTACTTGATTGATTAAAAACAAATTGATATGATGTAAATAAATTCTTCTGTTATAAAATCAAGCGAATTAAAAAAATGACATTGAAATATTTTCTTCTATCGTATTAATTGTGAACAGTAAATGAACGTGAATAGTATACTATACTTAGAAAAGTTTGATCACTACTGACTATCGTATAAATAGATATTCCCTTAGTATGCAGACAACAAAAAAAAAAATACTAATCCTACAAGTATTGACATCCTATGTCTTTAGATGAAACATTTACCGCTTTATTTATCTCTCTATAATGATTATTGTCATTGGACGTATCGTCACGATAGATAAAGAATCAATAATTAGTCAAGACAAAATTGAAATTCTAATTTTGTTATCTAGATGTAATTAAAATTGAATTTGAAGTAAGTTGAACAAATTCGAGACAGTTACAGTTTCAACAATAAGAAGACTGATTTTTTTCAATTTTCCAAACTATTTTACATCAAACGTCTGTATAAATTAATTTGTTCAATATGGCTAATTTGACAACACTCTTTGCTATTGTACATTTAGTTAATTTAAAATTAGCCTATATAAAAAAAAATAAAACAGATGATCATAGGATCCCAACTTGAAAAGCACTTTTGAGTTCGGACTTTGTGCATAAGGTAAACCTAAATGAGATGTTAAAACCTCTAAAGTGATAAGGGTCCCAAAGCCTTCTTCCTATAAAGCTGTAACCGTTTTAGTGAAATTTTAGTCTATATGTGCGAAAGAATCGAATGACAATATTTCGACCTGAAGTTTTACCTACAGATAGGTCTAATTGTAACTAGAATGTCCTGAAATTCTTGAAACTTTCGTGGAATATGATTGGTTTTTGGAAATTCTATATTTCGTGAAGGTAGCATTCTTCTGAGCTGAAATTTTCGGGACATTCTAGTTACAAGTAGGCCTATCTATGGGCGAAATTCCAGTAAAACGACTATAACTGTGTAGGGGGGAAGATCTTATCCTGTTGGTGATTTTAATATCTCATTGAACTCTGTCTTATGCATAGAGTTTGAACTCAAAAGCGATCTTCAAGCTAAGAAGGTTTTCTCGTTAGATCTTTCTTCTCGCATTATGATCATTCTATTGAATTTTCAGGATGTTAAGTTAGAAAATTGAAATAAGAAATTACCATTTGAAATTTTTTCCAACAATAGATCTCATGATACTTTATATATCTTGAGAGTTTCAACTCAAGTGTATGCTTTTCTTCCTAGATAATACGTTTGGAACAAAACTTCTCACAAAAGCTTCTCGAGCAGCTCATTTTTAGCTATTCTACATCTTAAGAAAAGAACTATGTGAAAAAGAAGAGTTGATTTTATTGCCCCTATTTTGTTGATAAGGCGATAGTAGCTATGTTATTTTATTTTATGCAGGGCTGTTCTTATTTACGATACGAAGCACTTTACAGCGATCGGTCAAGTTTTTTAATGCAGTGCCAAGGACAGCGTTTCTGTAGTCGGTTGCTAGAAATTCGTGCGTGTTGTTCTAAATTTCATCTTCTATCTACACAGGACTACGATAAGCTTTTTACTCCTGATATTCATAGTGTAACAAAGGTATATAATTTAGGTGATGAAAATTGTTATGATTTCGAATACAAAAATTTCCGATGGAAAAAGATTCCCAACAAATCCATACTGTTAAAACAACTTTTACCTTCTTCGATGCATGAATAAGACAGTATAACAACGTCTATCTATGGTTGATGTATACATAGGAGACGAGTAAAACAATTTTT